AGAGAGAGAGAGAGAGAGAGAGAGAGAGAGAGAGAGAGAGAGAGAGAACAGAGAGAGGGCCCCCTACATGGATGAAGCAGCCTGGAGACTCGTTTAGCTCCAGGCCCTGTTCTGTGGACCTACCAGGAACATGGGACCAGCCATAATGATGACTGCATAACCTGGCTTCCCGTGTAGCCTGCCCCTGGCAAACCGAGCCGGGGTCATACTCTCTGCCCATTGGAGTTCAAGGAAGTACTCTTATGGAAGTCCAGGGGAGTACCCTAGGGAGTGCTTACAAATTCATTGGAGCCATTGTGGTCATGACTGGCCTAAACTGGTCCTCAGTACGTTTACTACTGACCAACAGCCAGCCCTCGGCTAAGTCAACAGTGGATCCTGCAGGGTCCCACTGCTGTTGTCCTTTCTGCAACAGGGACTAGAAGACAATCCCCACTGAACAAACACTGCTGGACAGCAGACCTAAGCCACTCAGGTGCTGAGCCCTGTGCTGCCTTCACTAGGAAAGGACTGGCCAGCCTCATTCCTTGAGCCTCCAGCTCTCTCAGGCAGTATATTCCTAAGAAGGCCAGTCTCTGATCATACACTGTCCCTTGTCTCTGTAAAAGACCTAGCAGAGAGGTCTAAAGCACAGAGCCAATATACCCAGCTTCATCCTGTCCACTCTTACGAAGGGCCATAGGCCTGATCTGTGAGCAGTCATAGTAGCTCTAACGTAACAGCCGCCAGGCATTGATGGTGCACTCCTTTAATCCCAGTGCTCAGGAAGCAGATCTTTGTTCCAAGGCCAGCCTGGTCTACAGGACACCAGAGCTACTTGAAAAACAAAAAGCAGCTGTTAGACCTGAGTGCTGCACAATAGGTTGACCCTAGGTTTCTTCTAGCACGGTAGCAGACATAGGGCACCTGAGGAAAATAGTTCTCCTCCATTAGTGTGCTGCCTCGGCCACTCATTTCTGTGCCCCAAACCCACCCTGGGCTTCCCTGATACCAGGATACTTCCTAGGTAGTGAGACACCAACCTGCACCAGAGACATCCATCATAGGAATTTGAGTCTATGAGATGGAGTCACTTCAGCTGTTTCTCAGCCAGCTCAGCTGACACTCAGAGCCTGCCTAACCACCTCAGGACTTCATAAACCTACCTATTTATATGTCCACCCTTGGCTGACCTCACACAGCACGTGTGACCTGTGGAGATCAACATACACCATAACAGAAAGACATCTTAACACTCATTTGCCAAATGAACAAGCCGAGGGTATATGGCATACACCTGTAATTCTGTTATTCCCTGGCACTTGGGGGGGGGGGGATAGAGATAGGATCAGGAGTTCAAGGCCAGCCTCAGCTACACAGTTAAATGTGAGAACAGCCTGGGTTGCATCAGACTCAGCACAAACAAACAAAACCAGGCTGAGTTGGCTCCTGGTTAAGAGCTCAAACTGCTCTCCCAGAGGCACCGAGTTTATTCTCAACAACCACATTAGGTGGTTCACAACCACGTTGGATTCATGTAGCTCCAGCTCTGGGCTATAATGCCTCTGGCCTTTGCCTCACACTCACACACCTTCGTACAGACACGTGCACACACAAAAATATTTTTCCAAGATTCCTTGAGAAGTGACTTTTGCCCAGGTCCTCCAGAGATTAGATGGCAAAGTACAGCATACAGATGAACTTGGAACCCTCACACGCTACCCACTCTCAATTGGATTCACCAGTCTTTAGCACAAGAGCCTTTCCAGGGGACACTTCAGGCTCAAATCAGAACACAGGAATGCAAAGAAACCCTACCTGGACAAGGGAAGTAAAGAGTACAGGCCTGGCATACACCAAGCCCCCAGCGTCTAGCCCTAGCACCACAGAGAGTGAGTATGGAGGTACATGCCTGCAATCCCAGCACTTGAGAAGTGGAGTATAAGCATAATTTTTTTGCATCCTATTTTAATAAACGTTCAATCTCTCCTCTAGCCCACCACCCTGCAGAGGTCATGGAAGAGAAAAGTTGTTAGGATGTGGGGGAAGTGGATCTGTTCAGCAACAGTTCTTTGCAGGCGAACTCAACCTTCTTTGTCAGCAGTTCAGTCCCATAGCAAATGCCAAATACAACTTAGGAGCTACAGACAGTCCTCTCGGCAGGCAGACACCAGGCACGAACTGCAACTGTTATTCAATCCTGAAGAAAGCACAATGCTTGCCAACTGTCAGTGGAACCAATACGTGCGTAGAATATCAAAGTCGAGCAAACCAGACCAATGCTCGGTGGTATCTCGCACTGTCTGTGGGGTCATAGCTATACTCCATTACGCATCCTCTCACATATCTGCTACAGCAAAAACATCCTTTCACCTGTGTGCCCCAGCAAAACATTGGACATAACCGACTTTCCATCAAGCCAGACGTCTCCACTTCGGTGGAGCCAGGAGGATCATGAATGCAATACCGTTCTTGGCTACATAGTAAGTTAGAAGCCAGCTTGAGATACCTAAGACCCTCTTCCGTTCTGTGTTGTTTAAATAGGGGAGGGGGGACAAGATGGCTTGACAAGAAAAGGCATTTGCACCACGAGCCTGGTGTCCCTAGTTCAATCCCCTGAATCCTCATGTCTTAGGGTTTCTAACAGTCACAGAGACTATAAGTCACTTGGGGAGGAAAGGGTTTATTCACTTCCACATCATAGTCCATCATTGAAGGGAGGCAGGAACTGATGCAGGGGCCATAGGGGAGTGCTGCCCACTGTCTTGCTCCTCGTGGCTTACACAGCCTTCTTCCTTATAGAAGCCAGCCCCACTAGCCCATGGGCGGCACCATCCAGCGATCTGGGCCTGCTCACATCAATCAGAGCTTACCAGAGGCTTACCCACTGACCAATTTGGTGAGGGCATTTTCTCAATTGAACTTCCCTCTTCCCAAATGACTCCGGTTTGTGCCAAATTGATGGAAAACTAGCCAGCACACCACATAAAGGTGGAACGTGAACCAGTTCCCGTGGTTTGTCCTCATGGGCTGCTGTGTATGCCTTCACACCACCACCACCAGACTTTAAAAAATGAAATGGACCTTTTCTTCCCAGCAAACCTTTATAATGACTATTCCCTCTGGCTGGAATTGGGGATTCATTTTCCTCCCCAGCTATGTAAGATCTGCTTGGGCTACATGACACCCTCTATTGAGGGGACAGGGAATATTGAGATGGATCAGGGGGTAAAGCCAAATGGTGGACCTCCCCCAAACCTATAGGCTGGATTAGAATCTTTTGGTTGTGAGAATTCCACTCTCCCGGTTTTACCTATCCCAGCTTGGATCGCTCCGTTCTTCATGACTGACCATTCTGGGTGTCACTGCTGTCTCCCTCGTGGCCCTGCACAATGTGCTCATTTTCAGTGCTGAACTAAGGTCCGCCTATACTTAGGAGTATAGAACTACATTTAGAAGACTGTCAGATAACTGTGAAGGTAACTGTGAAGAGAGTATTCACAATTCTGAACTCCTAGTTCAGACATCAGAGAAGGACAGATCTAGACTAGCCTACCCAGAGTGGATGGGTGGGACCCCTGCATTCACTAGGAACTGGACTGGTGACAAGACAGCTTGAATGATGCCACGTCATCTTTGGAAATCTACAGAAAGAGAGAGAGAGAGAGA